CTTCCCAGAATTCCCCCTAATCACTTGATCAGGCAGAGCAGCTGACCAATGTCTTTCTTTTCAGCCCTTGGAGAGTCTGATGTGTTCAAACACACCCCCTGAAGGACAATTGCCATGATGCTCCCTATTCACTGTTTAAAGACCTTGCGTTGCACACCACTAAATAGTGCTTAACAACAGATATCCCACCCCTGAGAAAATTCTACCTTTGGCCTGCCAAGTTAACATAAGAACGGCCCCTCCCCCCTCCAGTTCTCTTCAGTTGTTGCAAATGTTTCAAGAGCAGACCAACAGACTTTAGCCTTTCAGTCAATACTAATTTAATTTTATGGCCTCTGGTCATTGTCCACCCAGTGTAAACCTCCTTCAGCTACACCTAATTGTATTCATTTCTGGGACACTTTAACACAATAGGCAGTGACTCTCATGACATTGTCTCTTATCCCCTCTGTATTTGAAAAGTAGCCAAAGCGTGTCTCAATGAATTCAGGGGATGTTTTCCCCCTTTCAAAGAGAAGGGTGCATGAAAAGGTGTTTACTTTGGTGGGAGTTCTCTAAGACATGTTGCCGCAAGTCCATACTTGCCAAAGACAATAGGGAACCCTTACTGTAAAAGTATAGCCACAAACAACACCCAGCAAGGGAAGACCATCTACAATTCACAACTATGTTCAAAACTATATATTACATTCATTGAAATACAAAGAAGGGTTGGTGGTCACAACCCAATAGAGTGTGCAGACATTGATCCAACAGATTGCTCAGAACAATTAAACATAGTTTAAACAAAGAACATATTCAAAACCAACAGTAGGCTCCTCTGTAATTCCATACATTGATAGTGTCCATAGACCTCCAAACATAAAGTAACTGCAGTAGAAGACGCCCACTGTGAAAGGAATAACAGCTGGATGCCTCTCCTGGGTATAAATCAAGTGTTTCAATGATCTTCAACAGCAGCTGGTAAAACGGAACCCGATTTCCAAAATAACATGGGCACAGCTCAAAAGCTTCAATGGAATCCTAGGTTTGGATCAGTGTCTATACACTTTATTGGGTTGTGACCAGTGTTCCCTCTAAGCTGAGTGAGTGTGAGCTAGCTCACAGTTTTTTAGCCTCCGGCTCACAGATTTTTGTCTTAGCTCAGGAAGGATGGCTCCAGAGCAAACTAACTTATGCAGTAGCCAAATCACTTGCTCAGAACTTTAATGTCAGTAGCTCACAAAGTAGAATTTTTGCTCACAAGACTCCATAGCTTAGGGGGAACATTCTTCTTTGTATTTCAATGAATGTAATATATAGTTTTACCATAGTTGTGCATTGCAGATGGTCTTCCCTTGGTGCGTGTTGTCTGTGGCAAGTCCATACTTAGCATACTGTAATTAATCAAGGATACGGTTGGATACCTTTAAAATATTATCAGCCATAGTCCTTCTTTGCTATGGAGATGTTTTGCTTTCATTTTATTCCAGCAGGATTTCTCTTATTTGTTACTGTTAAAAAAATAAGTACCCAGTGGGGGAGGGATAGGGCTGCATTTTAAAAATTATTTCAGTGTACTTACATCATTTCTACCCTGCTTTGTCTTACATGATTCTCCTCCCCTCCATTTTATCTTCACAACAACCCCGTGAGGTAGGGGAGGTTGAGACTAGTCCAGGGTCACCCAGCAAGTTTTCCCCTGGCAGAGTAATTATTTGAGCCCGGGGCCCCTGGATCCCAAGTTCAACCACTACCAAATTCTTAGATCCAATTTTAATCTGAGAGAGCAAACTTTATTAAACTGGGCTAAAAGTGGACACAGATTTATTTCTTGACATTTAGAATCAGGTGGCGAAGAAACGGTAGGAGAACTAACTTGTTCCACATGGCCTTTTCTTCTAACAAACAGAAGATTTTAAAATTAAGTTATAAGCTATTTTACTCTCAAAGGCTTGTGCAATGAGAACTCTGGTAACATGATGCAGATATAATTAAATCTAATAAATTATGAACCAATCATTTCAAGAGATTAATAAATGTAGGATTCTTTAAGGAGCTACCTGCACTAAATGCCGTAGTTCTTGAATGTTTTACATTTTTCCTTTCCAATAAAAAAACACAAACAGTATCATGAGTTATGGTCTCCCATCCCTGAGGCCTGTTCTGCTAAAAGAAAAAAACACACTAAACCAGGGCCAGGGCCTTTTCAGTGGCGGCTCCATACTGATGGAATTTGCTCCTGGATGACATTAGGGCCCTGCGGGACCTTTTACAGTCCCAGAGGGACTGTAAAATGGAGCTCTTCCACCAGGCTTTCGATGAGGGTGCCACCTTTTAATATCGTGGCCCTGGCCCCAACATCAGCACTAATTTAACAACTAACAGCCTGGCAAGAACCCGGATTATGGTGGTAAATGACCACCTGGATGTTGAGGGAACGGCACCATCTTTTATTAATATTTATGTTCCTTGAAATCTAAATTTTATATGCTACGGTTTTAATCTAACTTCCATGTCTTAACATCTCTTGTTGTTTTAATATTTATATTCCGTAAACCGCCCTGAGCCTGCCACAGCGGGGAGGGCGGGATACAAATTAAACAAATAGAAGAATAAATAAAAAGTTGAACTAAACAACATTTAATTTACTCTAGTTGCATTTATACCAGCTCCTAATATAGAAGTGTTTCTTAATGCTTATTCTTAATAGAGAACAGTTATTACAGGCAGCCTGTGTGATGTAGTGGTTAAGAGTGTTGGATTAGAATCTGGGAGACCAAGGTTCAAATCCCCACTCCTGTCATGGAAACTCACTGGGTGACCTTGGGCCAGTCACGCTCTCTCAGCCTAACCTACCTCACAGGGTTGTTATGAGGATAAAATGGAGGAGAGGAGAACGATGTAAGCCGGTTCGGATCCCCAATAGGGCGAAAGGCAAGATAGAAAGGAATTAAATAAATAATGGACAGTAGGCAGCAACTCTGCTCGGGATGGCAGTGTAAGTGTTACATTTTCAAAGCCAAAAGTGATGAATATGTTCAGAAAATGTCATTTTCATTTCAACGTGGGCACATTCTCCCGCTAAAGTCGGCGAGATATAAAACTGGAACTCTGAGAGTCCCCGGAATCTACTGCCTCTAGATATCCAAACTTTGAGGGGAAATCTCACAAGAACCCTCCAGAGGGCGCTACAGTCTTGGCGGAGAGCGAGAATGCTGCAAGAACTAGCAGGGCTGGTGGATCTTTTATCATATTGATCAAATCGCTTACATACACAACCAGTTGCTTATGGTTGTAGGACAAGGGACCAAGTGGACTTGTGCTGCATGGTGTTAATTAATGCCCCCGTTCCAAGTGAACCGAGTTCCCTCCTATTTGTTCTGATCGAAGATCGGATAAAGAACTGTTCACCGGAAAGGAAAGCTACCTGGTTATATTATATACACGGTAATTCGTTATTACTTTGCACCACAAAGTGTGTTTGGGGGCGGGGCACCTTTCTCTGAATCCAACTTCTGCCCTTACCGCTCTGCCAAGCCATGCCTGCTTATGCTGTGCGCAGCACTGTACGAATCTGCCTCTTGAGCTGAGCTGATCTAGAAAACTGCAGGTGGAAGGAGATGGGGGGTGGGAGAGTGGAATCTCCCTCTCTGTCCTTTTGCCCGGGAAGCGAACGTTGCAGGCCCTTTTCCCCTGTGCGACGGAAAGTGGCAGGAGGAGAACGACGCGTCTCGCGCGTAGGCTGTGCAGGGCAGGAAATGGCAGCAGAGTCCACGTGGCTCCGAAGCGCTCCAGAAGCTCAGAGCCTGCTGGCGCAAAACCAAGGGGCCGCAGTTTCAAGCCGGCTTGCAGCAACAATCGCCGGGATACAGAATGAAGAGCGCGGAAAGAAGGGACATTATTTAGCTGGTCTCTCGCAAGGAAGCTCAGCAGATGGTCCCTTATTTGGGGAAACGACGGGAAGTTGCCCCCCCCCCCCCTTTTATTTCCACCCAAAGTTAACAGC